TGGATGGATGGATGGACAGCGCCTTGAAAGGTCGGGAAGTGACAGCACCAAAAGCTGGGGATGGGGATCGACCCGAGTTAAATCGCCCCTGAGGCTCTAGCCTCTTCCTTAGCTTTAATCCTGGCGACAAGCGCCGCCATTCTCTGCTCGAGCGCGGGGGCCGAGGGAGAGACCGAAAACGCTCGTGGAACTGAGGTAACACACGTTTCGGGCTTACCGTCCGCCTCTCTGGCAACATTGAGCTGAGACACAGGCGACGCCTTCTCAAGCACAGCTTTGACTTTGGGATTGGGGCCGAGCCCTCGCCGAAAGCGGCTCAGGACATCCAGTCCCTTACGCGACGGCTTAACGCAGACCTCAGCGAGGTTCACGGCCCTCCCTTGTGTCCAGCCGCCGTATTTCAAACGCAGAATCTGCTGGTCACGGCGGGGGCCCAAGACAACATCCGACCGAGGCGTCTCAAGAACCGAGCCCGACACGGCGACGAGCAGATGCCCCAGGGGATCACGCAGCAGCTTCTGGAGAGCAGGTGGCGGGCCCTTGCAACCGAACGTGGGCCTGTCGGGTCGATCGCAAATCACCCAACCATAACGACACTGCATACCTAACTCATGCCTCCTCCAGAGATTCCATGTCTTCTGCTGGCGACTACGCCCCTGGGTGGTAAAAGCAGCTCGCTTCCAACGCACTTCATTATTGAAGAGGGGCAAATCTTCGGAAGCAAACTTAACAAAAAAACATCGGCATGGTTTTGATACAAGTCAACATGATCAAGAAACGTGGGCAAGGGCCGAGGATGGCCCGCAAGGGCCCATGGCATGCTCATCTACGGCATGATTCGCAAAACCAAACCTAAGATCATCACCTTCCAACACCTCGAGGACAGACAGCTTTCGATGAGCCTTAACATGGAAGGTCGACAGAAATTCCGCGCCTTCTAGCTCATGGGCAAACCTTTTCACACGAGCAAGCTTTATCAGAGCCCATGAACTGTCTCCAAATCGGCCTCTGGGTCTGACAAGCGACAGCTTTACAGTCGAGAGCCAGAGAGGTGGGCCTGTCAGCAACCTGCCCGGCTAAAGCTGCCCCCGCATGTTCAGCAATCGCAGGGGTCTGGGGCAGGAGGGAGGAGGAGGAGGAGGAGGAGGAGGAGGAGGAGGAGGACGAGGAGGAAGGAAGGAAGGAAGGAAGGAAGGAAGGAAGGAAGGAAGGAAGGATGCGAGGGAGGAGAAGGAGCAGGCAGGACCCCGAGCCGCGCAGCAGCAGCCCCGGGCCTCCTTCGCGGGCGCCGCCGGCCTCTCGTCGCGCCGGGCAAGCCGCTGCGACGACAGGGCCGCGTCGGCGGCCTTCGTCTGCGCGGGGGCCGCGGCTGGGGCGGTGGCCTTCGTCTGCGCGGGGGCCGCGGCTGCGGCGGTGGCCTCCGTCTCTCCTCCACCTCCCCTCCTCCTGCCAAGTCCCCCCACCTCCTCCTCCGAGTCCTCCTTCCCCTCCTCCTCCAACTCCTCGCCCTCCGCCTCCTCGCACTCCTCTGGCGAGAGCCTTCGCAGGCGCCGCCAGCGAGGCCGGGGGCGCCACCGCCGGCGCCGCCGCGGAGGACGCCTGAGAGGCAACGTTATGGGGGGACTGGCACACGGGGGGGAACATCGACCCAGAATTGGCGATACATCGCCGGTAGATCGGCGATCGGCTCCCGATTGCGACTGCGCACGCTCCAGGGCGGGATGCGCCTTGCGGACCCCGTTCGGCGACCACTGGGACTCCCTTCCCCTTCAGCATACCCCCTGTCGCTGCCCCTGTTAAGCAGGGACCAACCGTCCTGGCATTCCTTGTAGGTTTACCACGAAATGCTCTTCGAACCCAACAATGTTCGAACAACAAAAACAATGCTCTTAAAGCATCAACCCGGTGCGTTCAAATCAAGCGCTCTCAGCCGCGTGCCGTGCACACCACAACACTGTCTTAGACCTTCCTTTGGTGGACCTAGTTTTATAAGTTTATAGGCAAGCCAGGACGCTTCGCCTCTGCTCGACCCTGAACGCCGCGCGCTCGACCTGGGCGCTCGGCGCTGCGCGGGCCGCCGGCGCCGCGGCAGGGCCCGCCGGCGCCTGCGGCTCGGCGGGGGCGGCGGGCGCCGACAGGCTCGACGGCGCGCCGCCCTGGCGGCCCGCGGCGTGCGGCCCGGCCGCGCAGGGCGCGCGGGCACGGTGGGGCCCGCCCGCTCGGCGGCGGCCGGCGGCCGCGCCCGGGGCGCCGCGGGGGCCGCCGCGGGCGGCTGCGTGGCCGCGGGCCGGGCTGCCCCGGCGGGCGCGGCCGCGGCCACGGCCGCGGGCGGTGCGGCGGGGCGCGGCCGCGGGCGGCGCGGCGGGCGCCGCAGGCTCTGCGGCGGGCGTCGCTGCGGGGGCCGCGGCGGCTGGCGCCGCTGCCGCTGCCGCAGGCGTGGCGGCCGGGGCTGCCAGGGCCGCGACGCTGGCGGCCGGGTGCGCGGCGGCGGCAGAGGCGGCAGCCGCCGAGGGCGGCGCTGGACCGTCGGACGACGGCGGGAGCGCCTCTTGGGCTGCGGGCGGCTTCCAAGCGGGCTGGGTCACCAGCTCGGCAGCGCCTAAGGCTTTGGCCAGAGCCTTGGCCTCGCTGGGCGTGGGCTTCGCCTTGAGGCCAAGGCCCTTGGCAGTCGCTTTGGCAGTCGCTTTGGCAGTCGCTTTGGCAGACGGCCGCTCCGAGGAACCGCGGCGCGGTCCAGCGGCTGGCGGTGGCTGACGGGCGGCGTGGCGAGCAGCAGCGTCCCCGAGGCCCTGCCTGCTGGCCACGCCCGCCGTGGAGCCGCCCGCGGCGCTGGAGCGTCCGTGGGCGCGGGCACGGCTCGGCAGCCCGGTGTCTGGGTGGCTGGATCGCCGGGCGAGAGTGCTGTGGTCCTCGTCCCCGAAGAGGAGGTCGTCGTCAGAATCCAATTCATCTGGCGAGGTGGACTCCTCGGCATGCCCCAGGGCAAAAGGCCGCCGCGAGCCCAGCGCCGACACCGCGCCCGCGGCATGCGCCGCGGAGGCAGCCACGGCGGCGGCGTCGCCGACGGCCGCAGCGGAGACGCCGGCACTCTTGTCGACGGAGCTGCGCCGCCCGCCTCGGAGGCCGGAGCTGCCGGCGCCGGAAGCCGGGAGGCCGCCGCCGGCCGCGGGGGGCGCCGCGGCCGCGTGCGCGTGCACGTAGGCCTGCTTCGAGGAGGGCGGGACGTAGAGGCTCTCCGCGAGCGCATCCGCCGGCCCGCCCCGCAGCTGGTCCTCCCGCACCACCCGCAGGCTCTCGGGCGCGGAGCCCGCGCGGGGGGAGGCCTCCTCGTCGTCGCCCGCGAGGCCGCTCCAGTCGAAGGCCGCGGCCGGCGGCGACGAGGGGCGCGCGCGCCCCGCGGAGCGCTGCGGCGACAGGTGCTTCACCGGCCTCGCCTTGCCGCGGGCCCTGGGCGGGCCCGCGGTGGGACCCGAGACGGGGCCGCGGACCTGTGGGTGACCCAGGGGGCCACAGGCGAAGCCTACCCCTGCCCCCCACGGTTTCTCAGGGGGGGAGGGTGGGGTTCACTTCGCTCACGGGCTCCCGAACGAAGTGGACCCCACCCCTCCTCCTCAAACATCGTGGGGGGTAGGGGTAGGGTTCGCCTCCTGTGGCCCCCTAGGTGACCCAAAAGGGGGTCCAGCTAATTAGGAGGGGGAGGGTCCGAAAGATTTGGGGCAACTGTCTTGCAAATGCACTGCGCCGGGGAACTATTTTGCACCGTGCTGCAAGCACTGCCCTGCACGCGAAAAGCCAGCAATACATCTGCGCCCTGGAATGTACCGCACGCCCCCCCAAACAATGCATTGCAACCCCACAAACCTACAGCACCAAATCAGTTGCACCACCCCCTTGTCGCTGGACCCCCAGGACCCCGACGTCATGATTTTTCATTACGTCGACCCCTGGGGGTCTCGATCCATTCCCCTGGACCGGTTTTTGATCCTGAGTCGTTGTTTGACAGTCCCGAGGCCCGGCGAGGGCCCCCAGAGGCCGCAACTAGGGAAAAACCTCCCGTCGTGATTTTTTCATGACGCAAGGGGGTCCAGGCCTATTGTGGCTCAGCCCGAGGACCAGGGCGTGGGGCGGCCGCATCGACGAGCGCTCGTCCCGCGGCACCGGCTCGGGGGTCTGCCAGCACGCCCTGGCGGCCGAGGCGCCCAGCCCCAGCGGCGTGCCGAGCCGCGCGCCCTCCGCGCCCGCCGCGGGCGCGCCCGGCGGCACGCCCAGGAGGGCCACCACCGACTTGACGCCGATGGTGCCCGTGCAGGCCGCGGCGATGCCCTCCACCCTGGCCACGGCGGCGGCCAGCAGGGCCCCCAGCGCCACGGACGCGCCCAGCGACGCGCGCAGCGCCTCGCAGGCGGCGGCGCCGCCGGGGGGCACGATGGTGGCCTCCACCACGACGGAGCCCTTCCACAGCCGCAGCTCGGCGACGTGCTCTGGCAGCACGCCGGGGCCAGACTGCTCCGCCAGCGCTGCCTTCACTGCGGCCTCGAACGCCGCGCACAGAGCAGGCCTGGACTTGAGGCGCCCGTAGTCCACCTTGTCCACGGTGAAGCGCACGACGACTCCGGCCGTAGGGCTGCCACCCTCCCTGAGCGCGCCCGGTGCGCCGCCGGCGCCAGCCGGCGACGCACTGCGTAGCGCCGCAGAGGTCGGCGGCGACGCGCTCGCCGCGCCGCCACTGGTGCCCAGCGTGAACAGCGGCAGTCGCCTCCCAGACGGGAAGCGGCCCACCGAACCGACCAGGCTGCCAATGGCATCCGGGTCCGTGGCCCCCTGCGGCGCCGAGCCCGCGGTGGCGGCCCACGGCGGCGTGGCAGGCTCCTGCCAGCCGAACGGCTCGGCCACCTGCGAGCAGGGCGCAGCGCTGCAGAGCCTGGGCGGCGTCGCGGAGCGCGGCGGCGTCGACGCCCGCGGGGGCGTCGTACAGGCCCCTGCCGCTCGCGAGGCCTCTGTGCTGCCCTTCGCGCCGAGCACCTTCTCCAGGTGCGCCGCGTCCAAGCGGGAGGCCCCGAGGCGGACGCGGCTGATCTCCGCCACGGCGCCGACGACCCGGGCGCCCCCCGGGGTGGGGGCGGCCTGGCCGTGGAGCTGCCCCTCCCACAGCTGGCTGAGAGCGCTGGACTGCTGCTTGATCGTGCCGTACATGGCGCGTATCTCCTCTCGCAGCCGCGCGTTCTCCGCCTCCAGCGCCGCGCCCGCTCTGGGCTCCTGTGGAGGAACCAGGAGGTGCTGACGCCGCTGCTCCCCGGGCATCTCCCAGAATGCGGCCTGGCCAGGATCTCGAGGCGAAGCCAGCGGTGGCGACGAGGCCTTCCTGGAGCCCCCAAGGGGCGAGAGCGAGGCAAGGGCATCGGTCTCGGCACCTCCTCCTCCTCCTCCTCCTCCTCCTCCTCCTCCTCCTCGGCCCTTCTCCTACCTCCTCCTCCCTCTCCTGCTCCTGCTCCTCCCTGGATCCTCGGGGCTGCCCGCCGGCTGCGGGCGCCTCCCCTGCGCCGCCGCGGCTCGCACCAGCGCCGCCTCGCCCGCCGGCGCAGCCGCGCCCGCCAGCGCCGCGCGCGCCCGGGCGCCGCAGGCCTCCGCCGGCGCGGGCGCCGTGCTGCCCGAGCTGCCCCCGCCGCAGAGGTCGGCCCCGCGCAGGGCGCGCGCCAGGCCCCCGGGCGGCCCCGGGGACGGTGGCGCCGGCCCGTCCCGCGCGGCGGCGCCATGTCGGCGCGCGCGCGGCCCGGCCCGCGCGCGGGGCCCGCGCGGGGCCGTTGGGGGGGGGGCGCGCCCGCGGGGGGGGCGCCGCTGGGGCCGAGGCCGAGGCCGCGGGCGGCGTCGGCGCGGGCGGCGCCGGGGGCGGTGCAGGCCCGCGTGCGGCGCCAGCGGCGGGGCGCCGTGTGCGCGTGTGGGTGGCGGGCTGCGGGGTGCCCCCAAGAGGCGCCCAAGGGGCGTCCCAAGAGGGCCCCAAGAGGCCCAAATCATGGATTTTCCATCGGAAAACGTGCATGTGTTAGCGTATACGGCTTTGCGGCTTTCGCGGCGCTGAAGACGGCCCAAGAGGCCCCCAAGACAGCCCCAAGGCGGCCCAAGAGGCAGCGTGAGGTGGTTGCAAGGTCGATCGTGAGATCGCTCGTGGGGTCTACAGTGGGATCGGCAGTGAGATCGATACGAAATCGAGTGTGAGATCGATTGTGAGACCGATTCGTGGGAGTGATGATGAGGTCGCTTGTGATATCGCTAGTGAGATCGATAGTGAGAATTGTGGGATCGATAGCGAGTCCGAATGTGAGATCATTAGTAAGCTGGATTGTCATATCGATGGTGAGCTGGATTGGAAGATCAATAATGCGATATGTTGTGAGATCGATCGTGGGATCGCTTGTGAAATCGATCGTGAGCTCGAATGTCAAACCGATAGTGAGATCGATTGCGAGATCGATCGGGAGATCTGTTGTGATATCGATAGCGAGATCGATAGTAAGATCTGCTGTGAGATCGACAGCGGGATCTATTGTGAGAGCAATCGTGAGATCAGTTGCGATATCGCTCGTGAGATCTAGCGATCGACAGTGAGATCGATACTGAGATACATTATGAGATCGATGGTGAGGTCGAGTTTGATCCCGAGAGTTGGATCCATGGTTAGGTCGACTGTGAGATTGATAGTGATATCGATAGTGATAACTGGTGTGAGATCGATCGTGAGTCCCGATGTGAACTCGATTGTGAGTTCGATTGTCAGATCCATGGTGAGATCGATTGGGAGATCGATAGTGAGAACTGTTGTGGGAGCAATCGTGAGATCGCTTCTGAGATCGATATTGGGTTCGATCATCGAACCCATAGTGAGATCGATGATGAGATCGATCGGGAACGACGGTGAGATCGATAGTGAGATCTGTTGTGAGATCGAGAGTTTGCTCGATGTGGAATCGATTGAATGAGACGTCGGTTCCCCCCCCCCCCTCGCCCCCCCCGAACCTCCATATCACCCGAAGGGTGGTCGTGTAGGTATGCAATCCCCCCTAAACATCGCCCCTTGATTGGTCGACCCAACATAAGGAAGACCGAATACTCATCGGTCGAAAGAAATAGGTAGAAACATGAAGTAGGATGGCGTTGGAAGTAGGTCGAATCTCCGCCCGCCCCCTGAAGACGAAAAGAACCAACTCGACTCTTGAGATAGGACGGCGCCCAAAGTAGAGTGGGACCTGGGAGCCCACACACTCCTACTTTCGACAACCAATGGGCGAAGAACGGAAAAGATGTTTCTGGCCACGGCGAGCATCGGACACGAACCGGCTCCTCTTGAGCTTCCCCTCCCCCTCCAGCCCGAGGCGGCGACGGGGGGCTCCAGAAGACGAGCAGAGCTCCCAGCATACAAGACCACATAGACGACCTAGACTACAGGGAGCATAAGGCGAAACAACTACTTGCAGAGAAACCAGAAAAACTACATACACACACAGAATTTGGGAGGGCCGCGCGGATTTCTTTGAAGGGGCCCCAGGACACACAAATAAATACACACAAATAAAAATATTCCCAATATTTTCCCATATGTTCTGGGTTTCTGTCTTCCCCCCCACTTCCCACATTTTCCCATATTCTCTGGGGAATCGAGGATTAAATGTGTCTGTGTTTTTTCCTCTCCTGATTCTTGGATCGGCTCTTGGCCCTCTCCCTAGCGCGCGGAGTGCCTCAGGGGCGGCGCCGGAGGCGCCGTCAGAGGGGCTCCAGCGCCGACCGGAGATGTACGTGGACCTCCGAAAACGTTTGCTTATGTCGTCTTTTCTTCCTCGATGCCTCCCGAGGCGGCCGTTGGAAGGAGGCACGATGCCAGGGAGGGCATTGACATCTGGAAGACACCATGGCACGACAAATCAGCACCGAATCGACATATGTGACGAACGAACAACACACACACATGGCCCATACCCATAGGGGGAACGTTGAGAGGAGGACTGGCTATGGGTATGAGTGCGGGTTGTCGGATCCTGGAGGCGCTTCCTTTCGAGCGGGGACCCCCATCCGACAACACGCACCCATAGCCCGCTCCGTCCCACCTATGGATATGGGTGCGTGTTGTTCGTTCGTCAATATGCATCGGGTCGGGCTGAATCGACACGGAATCGACGTCGAACCGGAGCGGCTGCGCCGGGATGCGCAACAGCGCCGTGCAAGCATCGGGCCGCCTCGGCTCGTCGGAACAGCGGGCGCGAAGCGGACGGGGCCCGCCGGCATCGGAATGGAAAATGGACCCTGCCATGGCCCCGAGGAAGATATCCACACACATGCACACAGGCACACCCACACCAACGCACAGACACGCACGCACAGACACAGACACACACGCACACACACACACACACACACGCACGCACGCGCACACACACACACACACACACTCCGTTGGTCGTCACCCCCTCTTCGACACATCGTTGCTTTCGGGTCGCACCTCGGGCCTCCGGTGGCGGTTCGGGGGCGATCCTATGGGCCCCCTCGGCGAGGCGCAGCTGCTGGGAGGCACCCAGGGGCGAGAAAAACCTCCAAGAAGCATCACGAACTTCCGCCCCCAACCTTCCGCCGGGATCGTTGAGGAAAGGCGGGGTATTTGGGGAGGGCCCTTCCCATAAGATCCCGGAAGGGGGATCTTTGGGGAAGGGCCCTCCCCAAAGAGCCTCTCGGATTGAAAACATGTGTTGTTATATAAAAACAACAGAAAAAAACACATCGGGCGGATCCTTGGGGAGGGGCCTTCCCCAAAGATCCGCCGATGTTCTTTTTCCGTGCCGCGACCGTGCCCCCCTGGGGGTGGCTTCTCGCCCCCGGCTCCGCTCCTGGCCCCAGGGCCAGACAGCGTGCTTGAGGATTCACGTTGAGAAAATGTGTCGGCGTGTGTGAGGGGCTTTGTCCGTTCCCGTCGATCGTTCGTCGTCGTCTCCGTCGTCTCCTGTCCCTGAGCTCTCCCTTTCCCTGGGCCCGTCTCCCCTCCTCCCCTTTCCCCCCCTTCCCTGGGCCCTCTTCCCCTCCTCCCCTTGCCCCGCTCCCCCCCCCCCTTTTCTAGGGCCTCCCCCTCAAGAGCAACGTTGTCATTGAGTCGAAGGGAAGCCCCTTCCCTTTGATCCCTTCCCTGCTGGGGGGGGGGAGGGGGTCTCCAAGGGGGGTCCCGCGTCAGATACGACTTCCCCCCCTGGGGGTCCTGGGGCCCACACAAAGCCTCAGACGAGCCACGAGCCGGGGCATTCTACCACGCCCTCCCTCCCCCATCCTCCCTCCATCCTCATCTCTCCTCTTTCCTCCGTCCCCCTCCAGAACCGAACCGGCCTCCAGGTCCCCGGGACCCTCCAGGACCCAGCCCCGAGGACCTCCTCCCAGGAACCTGCACCAGGAACTAGCCCCCCAAAAAGTCAAGGACTCCCAGGCCCAGGCCCTGCTCGCCTCGTCCTACTCCTATTCAGTTCCCCCCTCCTCCTCCTCCTCCTCCTCCTCCTCCTCCTCCTCCTCCTCCTCCGCGTACTCCTCCTCCTCCTCCTCCTCCTCCTCCTCCTGCTCCTCCTCCTCCTCCTCCTCCTCCTCCTCCTCTACGTAGCCATTTTGGCTCAAGCCTTTTTGGCTCAAGCTCGGGCTCGAACCATTTTCAGGATCCTTGACGGCTCGCGCCTCCCCAGGGCTGATGGCCATTGTGCTGCTGGCTTGAGCGCTTCCGCCCTGTGTGCGGCAATGAACGCTGGGGGATACCGGTGCATAGGTATCAAAGGGTCCCGAGCTTCGCCTCTTCGTGCCGGTGCACCTCGTCAACGGCGACCTCGGGGCGCGCGTCTCAGCCTTTGCTGAGTCTTTCGGCTCGCTCGAGGTTTTTCTTCTCGATGGCGGACTTGCAGCGCCAGTTCAGGCACCCGCCGCCGCCGCCACCGCCCCCGGCACCTGGCTGCAGGCACCCAGCGGCGGAGGAGCAGGACGCGTCGGCGCCAGTGAAGTTGCTTCCGCGCTGGGAGCGCTGCCGCCTCGCAGTGGAGGCGCAGCACACGGCGCAGGAGCAGTTCGACAAGCAGGCGATGCCGCAGGTGGAGGCTCCGGTGGTCTCGCCCTTCTCCCCACGGCTTGGAGTTTCCCGTTCGTCTCCCATCCAGGCTGCTACGGAGGAGCCCGCTTTGCTTCCCAAGGCCATGGTGGAGGACACGTCGGGTTCTTCGGTCGCGCAGGGCGCTACTACGAGCACTTCTCCCCCAACGGCGCCCAGGAAGAGGCGCCGCAAGCACATGCTGAACGACTACAAAAGCATCCTCAAGCGCTTGAAGGAGGAGTCGCCGGCTGGCCAGCAGCCGGACATGGCGTATGTCGCAGCTATGGCGACGGGTTGGTGGCCACCTCAGCCGCCTGCTCCGCCGGCAGGATTGCGAATCCCACGGACGCCACCTCCGAGGCGCTGACCTTCTACATTGGCGACGGTGATTTTCCTGATGCTGGTGGCGAAGGTGTAGCCCCCGACATGTCAGCCCTGAGCGGCGGTGTCTCGCAGGAAGGCTCTGGCATGTCAGCTGATAGTGGCGGTGCCCAGGAGTAGCACATCGGTGTTGAGGCTTGCGACA